TCCATTAATACAGTCTTCCGAAGCATGAGTTGCCAATGACTCAAAAATATTATTCTTATATGCAATTTCAAAATCAATAGGCGGAACTCCTGCAAGAACAAAAGTAGCCTCATAGCTTAAGGTTCTATAACCATTAATAATATGAAGAAGAATTCTCCGTTGAAAATCTGAGTATTTGGTACCCTCTTATTTTACCCTTAGCTCTTAAACTGATTTCCGATTTTTATATACCTGCATACTACAAAGACACGATACATTTACAAATGCCAACAGTGCAGCCACTTCAGCCGATTGCCATACCGAGCAGATCTTCACAAAATTCACTAGATATAAATAAATGAAACCAAATTATAAAGGAGGAAGTACAAATATTTATACTTGAATTTTCAATTATATGGGAGATAAATGATAGATTTTTCGCCCCTGTATTAGAAACGGCTTTCTGTTTTGAAGAGGCGAGATGTAGAAGTTAAAACATAAACTACTTTTATTGATGTTAGCAATACAGAGCGAATAAAATAACAAGCGCATAACTGGAAAGCAAAGTTGATGAAAGAAATGGTAGATGAAAGAATAAAGTGCCGATCGAATGATAGCATTATTACGCAACATTTATACTTGAGAATATAATGGTAATAATTCTTTTTAATTCTAGTTTTGGCTTTTTTCGCAGGAATATTATTACGCTTTTATTATTATGCATATTTATTCTTTGACAGATGTAGTCAACTAATATTACCTTAGATAAAAAACAATCCAAATGAAGTAATAACAAACATTCCCTTTACCTTTTGGGGAAAAACTCTAGAGAATATTTACCTAATCAATTTGTCAGACGATTCTGCAATTCGAAACACTTTTCTGATCAGAGCAAAAACTAAGAAAAAAAAAAAAAAAAAAAAAAAAAAAAAAACACCGAGTTCGATGTTATTTTAAGCACTCATAGATGAAAGGTTTCTCATTACTTTCTCTTGTTTATTCACGAAATAATGAAACCTGCTAGTTTTTCGTGTGTTATTTTTTTATCAGAATTATATGATGTCCATATTCAATGCCCAGACGTTGATTGATTTTAATCACAGTATGGAAATCCTTGATTTATATTAAAAAAGGTGTTGAATTATTTATTGGATTTTGCGATTCATCATTGCTGCTGCTGAGGGTTATACTTCATCCTTTGATATGGCGCAAACTTAAGGAAAGAGTGTTAAAACAGGAGCATAAATATTTACTAAGCAAATTATAACTCTAATAAATCTTTATTGGAATTAGCATCTTCGCATAGGCAATGAAGTGTGTAAACATCTACATCTGTGCCTAACTGAACCTGTTATGTCCTATTTCAGACTTTCCAAGATCAACAATGCTTTCAAATCTTTTAACTCAACCTCTCTAAACAGGGTTGACAAATTGGATTTTCTATGAGTTCTCATCTCAAACTTTCTTTTTGTAGTGAAAAACGTAATATATTTTGATCTGTTTATAACTGCGTAATTCTGCCTTTAAACATCTGGAAGAAAATGAAAGTTATTAATAGTTTTTGTAGCAATTCACGCCTCTAGTGCTTCGCAAATGCGAAGACTAAAAGGACATTCTAAGAACAGTGGTTCTAGTATATAGGAGAGACTCGGCGCGTGATGAATGCGAATAATAATCGGAATAACCAAAAGCCATCATTCATGATGTACTGTACTGTTGTACACCAAATATAACAGTTAACAAGCGATATTTCGCAAAGTTAAGGTTGGAAGAAAATTGCAGAAGGTCCGTAACGGTTGCTTAGTATAGTATAATCTGGATTGATGAAGCTTACTTTTTCATTGCATAGTACAGTTAATATCTATCTATAATTACATAATATGGACAAAGCAGAATACAACACTATTAAGCCACTGCATTCACAACGTATTTCTGTTTGCTGTGGCTTCATGCTCCGTTGTTACTCTGCGGATATTTTTCTTTGAACGATCTTATGCAAATGCTGGCCGAAAGACGGGCTGAGACTATCGGAACACTATTTACAAATGATACACGAAGAAAGTGATATCGCGTTTATTGGAACCAGAGCCAGATTTTGACTTGATAAGGCTATTTGAGCCTAAGCTATTTGAGATATGGGGCCCTTTATAAGTCTGTTATAATATATTTTAATACTATTTATACTATATTTTAATATTTTTTGAGGGCCCCCAATAATGTGCGGGCCCTAAGCTATAGCTTGTGTAGTTTATATGTAAATCCAGCACTGATTGGAGCATAATTACTTTCACACAGTAACATGCATGAAAGATGGATTACCTCCTCACCGATATGAGCATCTCTAGCATATTTGTTGAATATTTTGGTTACAAGCATATTTGACGAAAAACGACTAATTAGTACTACTGTACGAAATAATGCTCTTCTCCTTCTTGCAAACAAGCTACGAAATAATTATATTATTTAAATTATTAAAGAATCGGTTTAGCGGTTAGTGTTCCTGGATGCTGTATGTTCGTCGGGCTCGGCTTTGAATCCCGGCAAAAGCATGGATATATTTGTATTTGTATAGAGTCTGTGCGATAAGGGCTACTAAAATACAGTCAAAAAATGATCTGATGGTAGAGGAAGAGCGATGAGAGTCACCAGAGTCATTTTTGTCACCAGAGTGATTTTTGTTAAAACTGGAACGGAAAGTCGTGCTGTCACTTTGGTGTTCAAGATACATGCTAATGATAGACGCAATTATTTTTTTCCTTGCCAACATAAAATTTGTAAACCTCTTCTGATTAGATCAGACAAGTTAGATAAGCCATAACAATAAATAATTAAAAAGATCTTAAAAGAAATTCCTTTTCAGAATTAATTTATGTCAAATTAATTACGAAAGATTTTAATTTCCTATATATTTTTGAAATACGCAAAGAATAACTAAATGAAAATCAACAAACAGTTTGCCAAGTAAACAGTACTCGAAATCTACATTATGTCAAGGTTATTTTTTATTTCCAAATGAATACGTTATTTAATTACTAATTATTTATATAAATTATTTTCATCTGCAATATGAATCCAAGTTTCCTTGCCCCTCCTTGGATAGCTATGAGTCTTGTACTGAGAGTGAGTTACATAAAAGCCTAAGAAAACACATGTGAGAGAAAAATTTGCTAATGCGCACAATACTTACTGAGAGTATAAGATTTAAAGAGAATTAAGAAAATGGAGCAAATATTGTTCATGTTAGTCTATCAGAAATCAAGGGTTACATGTTATTTGTGCCCCTTTGTGTGAATAGGTTTGCTATTTTTCTTTCAAAAGCAATGACAGTGATTATATAGATTGATTCACAACGCATGATTTGATTTGGTTTATCGAGATTTTGGCAAAGAACATTAGGGCTATTTGCTTAGGGAAAGGGATGTCTACGTGGAGGATTTTCTAAGGAAAATTGGCTCGTATGTATGTTACACATGAAGAAAACCACAAAAACACCCATGCGACCGTCTGGGGGTTTCAATCGAAGCCAGGTCAAAACTGCTAGTGTTCAGCGACTTTACAGCTCAGCCGCTGGCGGGTCATAATGTATGTGACTAAATTTAAAGTGCTATTATTCTTTATTTTTTATTAAAATAAATACTTTTACTTGGGGATGTCGATATGGCTACTGCGACTAATTTTTATTATTCAGGTTACAAATGTTCTTTAAAGGATTCTGAGGGGTAGTTTTTCATCTCCGTTTTTATAAAGAAAGCTCTTTTATAGAAAGATTTGAAGATAGCCTAAGATTTAAATTTACATGTTGATATGTTTATGGAGTTTTGCATACAAATAAAAATCACAAAGGGGCAGTATTAGCTAAATGACCCAGTTTATAATGCGTAATAAAGGGGGCGACCAGTTTTTAAGGAAGCAATGATGTTTCGGGATCTTGGAGAAATGTATAGATTCTGCTTGGTAAAATCTGTGCTGGCCGAGCCTTATTAGATAGCACAACTTGTTGAGTTTTTCTTTAAGCTTGGGAAAAAAAGATTTAGTCGGTACTTTGGAAGTATGTACAGTCATGTGATGACCTTATAGATGAACATTTTTGTAGCCCTTTCTAACTGAATCTTGGTATGATTTTTGAATGCTGCGTATTTTGCCTTCCGGTATTTCGTAGTATATATCGTTTTTCATCAAATTTGATCCAACTCTCACCGAAGTATCAAAGTATCATGTGAGTTCCAAAGGCTCTCGCTATTAGCTGATATTCAATAGGTTTTGGAATCATTCTACAGTGTCTTCTGTTTTTATATGGGGAAAGTCAATAAATAGCTGATATGCTAACCAAGCGAACTGTGAGCTAGACTGGATTTTGTTTGTGAGAGTGCCCGTAAACAAAAGCCTTCATACGTAAAACTTACGGCAACTGACCATTTCATGGATTTAAAAAAAGAAAAAAAAGTTATGAGGAATTTTAGGATTACACCTCATGAGTGTTTATGACGTACAAGCAATTATTCAGTTGACATAACCTAAAATAAAAATATAGTATTTGGTTTCACTTCGAACTAAGATTGCGTACTGACATATGATTATTCAAGCACAGTAATTGTAAACGATTCGGGCTTAAAGAAGAAAACCAATTAACTCCTTTCTTCTGCTCTTCATGTTAACCCAAATACTCTTATTTGCATTTCATTGTGATGAGTTTATTAACAATTCCAGAGTATTTCAAAAACAATAAATATCTTGCTTTCATTTGAATCAGAACGGCACTTTCTAACCTGATCTGGACATTAGTTGCTTTAAAATGTAATTTTCAAATTAATTGTATTTGCAAGTAAAAAAGTATAAAAGTTATGTCCAGTTTATTGTACAGGTGTTGCAAGTGTTTATATCCAGCTTGTTTTTTTAACTGTTTTTCTCGATTGTAAATAAATAGTATTACTGATTTATTAAATAGCTGCACTTATATATTTTGTAAAATATTGTATATATTGGATAACATCTTTTAGAAAGTAATATAGATAACTACCTACCATTCATGAAGTTGTAAATAATTGGATTGACAGCACTGTTGGCATAACACAACCAGTGAGATATCAAAGACGCTACTGTTGTAAGTTGAGTCTGCGGTAAACCAGTTGTATATCTGAAACATGAACATGGTTTTGGTGCATAATACTGATCCATACATTTAACATGCAATTTTAAATTAAATGTTTCCAGCTTTTCACAATCAAATATTTTTAGACTTACAATTTAGTACAAGAAATTTAGTTTTGTGCAACAAAATACTATATTATCTATATAAGTAATAAAACTGCTCCATTGTTGTGATAAAACTGCGTTATTATAGAAAAACGATGAATTGGTGAGACTTTAAACAGATTGGCTTCGGAAAGGACTGCATCATAACTTGAAGACTTTCCTGCGTAGTAAAAAAAGGTGACACTCGAAGAACACACATAACCGTAAATATGTAATATGTTTACGTATGTAAAATTCGTATTGAAAGGTCAATTACATCGCAACTCGTTCTTCTTTTCGCTCTTTCCTTCTGCTTCCAGACGCTAGTGTCGCCTTGCCGTTATTTTTACCTTCCTAATTTTCTTTCTTTAAGAAGATGTAATCTGTACAAAACTGGAAGGTGGAATGCGCACCAAAAGTGATAATCTTCATTATCCGAAAATAAAATTACGTGTGGAATTTACCGTTATATGTGTTCTTCGAGTGTCACCTTTCTAACTGCGCAGCAAAGTCTTCAAATTATGATGCAGTCCTCTCCGACGCCAGTCTGTTGCAACTCTCAGCAAGTCATCTTACTTCCATAATAATGCAGTTTTATCACAATAATGGAGCAGTTTTATTACACATATATAAATTTAGTACTACTAATACCTTTCCATATCTTGCCCTGTAATTTGAATGTACTCATATATTATATAAAAACACAAAAATTGTTATATTAATATTAACTCTTTATTTGGCATAGTCAAATATTAAGGAAAAGCCTTAGACAGTATGTTCAGACTCAGAAAACTATACTATTTATTTCACAAGGAAAAACGTTCTCATATTGCTTTCTTTTTGTTATTTCCACAGACACAAGTATTTTCAGTGCTATACTTAGAATTTTTTAAAAATCATAGACATTATATAACTCTTAACTAAAGATTGAATTTTATACCTATGGAAGATAATATTTTATAAATTGCGTTTTCAATGTGAAAACAAATTTTATATATTGTGTAAGATGAAAAAATTTATAACTTTATCTCATTTTAATATTTATTCTGCATCTTAAATTCATAAATTTTGCATAAAACGGAGGTTCACGTCGGAATATATTAAGAGAAATATCTACTGAAGATTGAGTATTCAGCAATATATTCAATAATAAATTTTAAAAATCGTTTTAAAAAAAGTATTTTTAATTCATCACGCTAAAAAAATAACTAGCCTTAAATTTAAAGTTGTTTTATTAGCTTATAAAATTTAGCCCTAATTCATCTAGAAAAATGCTCCATTTTTAATGAAATAGAAATTAAAAGTTAAAAACTTTTCTCTTGATTAAATAGAGCTTATAAAATTCAAGCTGTATTTAATCAAGTATGTTTTCCTATTTGTGGTATAAATATAAAATTGTAAATTTTTTTAAAGAGATAATGAATATGAAAAATTTTGTAAAGCATAATTACAGTAAAACGTTTTACGAAAAAAATTTTATTAAAATATTTTAATTGTCTCTCAAACTTCAACGATGTTTTGTTGCAATGTGCTCATTTAAAATCTTAAATAATTTTTTAATGTTTATTTCTGATTGAACAAAAACTTGGTTTCCTAACTCGAAATTTTTTATATGCTTTGATATAATATACTTTACTAGCGAATAAATAAAATAATTAACGTTTTGTATATTTGCTTTTGGGACTCTTATAAATTCAAATCTATATCTTGACAACTGTAGAACTTTTTTTATTAATTTTTTTGCACAAAAGCTCTTATCTAAATGTTCTCATTCTAATTTATTTAGAGATTTCTTTTATTTTATAACTTTGTAGAGACATTAGGATTTTTTCGAAGCCAGAGAGATGAAAAATGAGCAATCGCCTTCGCCGGGAGTCGAACCACGGACCTCTGAAATACCAGCCCAGTGAGCAGAACCACTACACCACGAAGGTACGCCAGGAAAGAGGGAGAAATATCTTATATACTCCACCCTTTAAACGGTGACTGGGGTTATTTGGGGAGCCAGTCGCCAAATCCTGGGTGAGGAGAATCATCATCCAACACCCTTTTAGGTCGGGAGCCGCTGTAGAAACATTAAAATAATTGGAAAAGCCGGAGATGAAAAATGAGCAATCGCCTTCGTCGTGAATCGAACCGCTGACCTCTGGAATACCGGCTAAGCGTGCAGAACCACTACACCACGAAGGTACGCTAGAAAGGCGGAAGAAATACCTTATAATTCTCTCTTGCGTACTGGATCATACAGCGAATTTTTAAAGCAGAATTCATTAAGAATTTTTTGACATTATAATTCATTCTTCTATAAGCCAGATTAAAAATAGAAAAGGTTATAGTTCTTGAAAAGAAAAGGAAATCTTATGTTAACAATATGTAAGTTAGTAAAAATGGACTAAAACGGCGGGAGAGGAAACTTAGGAAAAATTTAATAGAGTTCTTGTGAAATTTCTTTTTATTAGCAGAAATGAAAGATTCTAGAATGAAAAAATCATTACTAAATTATTCAACAATTTGAATTTCATGTTTAAGGAATTCAAGAAGAAAAAAATGTTCTTAGTGATTAGCAATAACATTAAAAGTTTGATACATAACAAAAACTATTTATAAAATAAACCCTTTTGATAACAGAATATTGTTTGGCTTAACAGCCGCAAAAGCGTTATAAAGACATAGTTTGATTTGAAAACTAACGACTCATCACGGATTTAAATTACGAGAAAATTAAAAAAAAATTTTTATCTGTTGGTAATAAAAAAGTGAAGTACAATGTTTTTGAAATTTAAAGAGAGAGACAATGAAATTATTTCCTCTTGTTATCTATCTCTACGTTACGATTTATGGAATGATATTTAATACAGATTTTAGATGTACAGACGATTTTTTTATCGAATGTCATAGTGATATAAAATGTAACGAAGAAATTTGTCAAAAAAATCTCTTGTACGAAAAATAATGAAAACTGATGGCTCTTTTGATGTATTTACTGGTAATCAAGAATTTTTACTTATAATATTAAATATTTTTCAGTCTAGGAAAAAGTAGAGGGTGACTGACAGAGAAACCTTTACCAGTGAAGTGTGTAAGTCCTTACTATTTTCTGAAATGAACGCATATCCGAGTTATCTTTCTCATTTTCCAGTTAAAGTTTTGCATGTGCGGAAGTTACTTCAAAACGTTATATGTGATAAAGATGATTGGCCTTGCCATAATTCTTAAGGAAATTTACGATTTGCAACGTGAATTACATTCTGATAAGCCAGGTAAAGCTAGACTGAAGTAAATGGAATCCGACTTCATTGAACTGATAGAAGCAGATAATTTTCCCATTGACACGATAAGGGATCCCGCTGCAATCAACCAATCTGAAAATAGAATTAAGGATCTCCCAAACTGGAGAAAAAGAAAGCACAGAAGCTTGCCGAAGTGACTGTTTCAACGCAAGATGCCTCTGAGGCCACTTCGACCAAGATAAATTATGGTCAGGACTAGATTTTTCCCTAGAAAACAGCCATTCCGACTCCTTGTTGCTGAAACCAGTTGCTGAAACTGAGGGTGAAAAAATGGATTACCAAGATGAGAAACGTAGCAATGATGACAAATGCATAGACGACACCTTGGGCGCCATAACAAATCACGATAATGAGAAGACCACGATAGTTTGTCCAAGACCATAGAAAGACCAAAGAAGTTTATTATTCCGAAACGGAATGAATGACTATACTGGTACGCTGACGAAAGATAAGATTCCTCTTTTCTTTGGATAAACTACTGAACGTGCAAAAGCACTTGGACTTTTGATGAAAAATGATATTCAGTTCAGCACCTTCAAAACTGGAACTCAAACTCCATTAAAAGTGGTTATACGTAGTTTAACCACCGACATCAGTTCTGATGATACTAAGACGCAACTCTGCATTGCAGATTTTTCTGTGGTTAAAATAAGAGAAGAAATTCCCTAGGAATTCGCATGGACTTGTTATGATGCTTCGTGTATTGTTTGCCTTGGTAAAAAGACTGACGCAGGAAAAAATATCTAAAAAGTTAATATTATTTTGAATCTCAAAGTTTCTATTAGAAGACATAGATTGAATAAACGCATCAAGATATGTTTTTGCTCTCAGAGGTTTGGACATGGCCAAATCTACTGTAACAACACTCCAAGGTGCTTGAAATGTAGTCAGGGTAATATCCAGCAGAGAAGTTCAAACTGATTGTGGAAATGTTACAAGATGCAGAAATATAATTTTCTGATCTTACTTGTAAGATGAATTTGAGAAGTTTCAATCGATGCGATAGATGGCGCCACTTATCTGTCTATACTTTTCTACATTCTCAGGACGATTTTCAATTTTCTTTTTAGGTCTATGATGTTTTCTACGGTTCCCCTTTCTTTCAACTTATGTGCCCTTCTCACTTGGAGCACCACCATTCAGGTTAATTTCACGCGCCCTTATGGGTGCTAAGCCAGAAAACGTTCTGAAAGGAGCACGATATTCGCGGCATTACGGCAAACTTGGGAAAAAGGAAAAATTATATGAGTATTCAAGTTTCATTATTATAGTTCAAAATTTGTGGAATGAAATGAACTCACTATTTATTTAAATTGATTTTACTCAATGCTAAAATCATTAAAAAGATAGTAAAAAAAACTTGAGTTTGAGGTAAAAAACTTGAGCTTATCACGTATACCTTTAAAAAACTGGATCGCAGCTCTGTTTCTAGTTCCAATTGCTGTTTTTGGAAGCTTATGGCTATCGCAAGGACGAAATCACAAATAATACTTAATGCGTCAGCTAATTTTCCTTTTAATATGATTAAATGCATATTCTTTTATAAATATATATGTTAAGAATTTTATGGCTGAACAACTGTATTTGTCTATTAATAATAGTATCCTGTTTAATTATTATTCTTGCTTTCTAGGTTTCCTGCTTCCTAAAACAACAGAACTTATAACCTACATTAGTCCTATTCTTTAGAAAATGTTCCGTTTTTCCCTCTTTGAACTTTCATCGAAGATTGGATTTCTTAGAGAGAAAAAATATATATATCTCGAAACAAGTTTCTTTCATGAACTATTGAAAAGACGACATTAATTTTACTTACAAAGTTTTGTATTTTTAAAAATTTTGTGTATAATTTGTCAAGAATTGCATGTAATTAGTTTATCTTTACTATTACTTTCCAAGCGGAATTTTCTGCTAATTAACTTTTCATTTTGTTTTCTTTTTGTGATTAATTTATAGTAAATTGATTTTAATTTTCGTATTATTTCAGCTGTCTTTTTCTAGTGGAATGATAACTCAAACGGCAGGTTTCCTCTAATCTGTGTCTTTAAAACTAGAGTAGAACCTTGTGATCTGCTGCAACATTCTATTTCAATAAAAAGCTACACACAATATATTTGTTAAATATCTGAAAACAATATTGCTTATAATCAGTAACAATTAAAATAATTACGCATAAGCAATAATAAAGAGCACATATAAACTCATTATTACTGTCTAGACTTTTATGTAAAATATATACTGTTAACAATGATTAAAATGCTTTTTTTACCCAAAATAAATTAAGAAAATTAGCCTCAAGAATTTTAATTATTATATATTTCATTTAGCAAAGTTCATTAGTATCTCCTTAATAAGTATAACTCTTTAACGATAAATACAAAAAATTGTGTTTTCTATAAACTGTATTTCCTATCAGTATTCATTAAAGGTAAATTTAAAATTTCTAAAAACTTTTAATATTAAGCAAAATTTTTTTCCTTCTGTTTATTTCTTTTATATCATACGAAGGATTCCAGAGATTTTACATTCACTTTTGTCGCTTTTGATACTCTGTATTATTTTACAGTTGTTCACAAACTATCCTGTTTGTTTACTGTCTTAAATAGTCTGCTTTAAATGTTCTTATTTGCATCCTAATAAAAAGAGTTACGCTGTACTTATATTGGATTGTAAGAGTTGAAATTAATACCTGAGCGTATTAATGAGATGCACCGGCATGTAGCACAGTCCGAATAGTACAACGACGGATATAATCATTTTGGCTGCTTTCCTTCGACTTCGAATCTGGGTCTCAATGCCGGAAGAAGACGACGAAGTGGCTGTAGCAGAAGTGAGGCTGATGGCTCCATTGCCGCTGCTCTTTACAACAGCTGCAAAACAGTAAAAGCGTGAACAATGCTATTAAACGGAGAAGAAAGATGTTACAATGAAAATTGCCTAGTTGGTCAGAGGAAGCAATAACTTTATGTATAATGTAATCATTGGGTATGACAATGCATGCAAGGACTGTATATTTAGGAGACATGTTTTCTAAAGGACTTAAGGCAAATTGGCTGTACAATCCTACATGATTGTGTTCACACACGCTACATATTGGGAATGTGAAAGCGCTGTGCAGCTAACACATTTACTTCTAATTATTCCGGATTAGTTATTCTTTCGGATTTGTTATTTCCCCGGCGTTTAAAAGTTGGCTCTTTTCGACCGTAAGGTTGGCAGACATCCCACCTAATTCACGCCAGTCATTCCAGCGGAATCTTCAAGGGACAAGCTCTGAATTTAGTTAGATAATCACATACCACTCTTTTTTTCGTTACTTTATCAGCCGATGTTCGGGATGCAGCATATATAAAACTTCGTTCTTGTAATTATCTTTATTTAAAGCACTTATTGATTAAGCATTTGCCTAGCAGTTCGACCTGTGTTCGATTCCAGACGAACGAACTGGTTTCCACGGCGTATAACGTGGATACGAGTCTCTGTTTTTGCCTAGAAATTCCTCCATGAAGACATGCCTTTCCTTACTCAGATAGCCCTAGCGTGCCTTGCTATAAGCAAACAAACCAAACTAATGATTAAGCATTCGCTGTCAAATGGATAAACCGTCATATGACACGGAGACTATCAATATTTTGTCAGAAAAAAGAATCAACGAATAAATATGATAATAATCAGTGAATAATATTATGCAATAATTAAGTACTTCTAAAAATGTAACGTAAGAGAGGCCGAGCGGCCAAATTACTGAACTGCTTCGGGGATCGAATCCCGGTGAACGGACTGGTAAAATTTTAGTTTTTGCATAGTATTTCTGTAGAACTGGATATTTGATTTCAAAAAATAAACATTTAATTTATTTGCCTTAATTCCATACATATAATTCAAAGTTAATACAAGAGGAAAACGCAACCGTAAAACATAAAACTAGGCAACACAACTAACTACCTTATATTTGTCTTAGATTTTTGTCAAGATTTTCTCGATTTCGAAGGCAGACTGGTACAGATTCTTCTTCATCAGAAGCAAAGAAATCTGCCAAATTACTAAAATCATATCATAGAAACTGCAACCAGTTGTACTGATTTTCTACCGGATGCCAATAAAAATATTCTTTCCAAACTTTCGAGTTAAAATTTTAAACGAAGTTTCAGGTTAGCATGCGGAAAGTTTGAATAAGGATAAAAGCACGAAGATTCCAGGCTTTAAATCTGGAATATTTTCAAAATTCTCGGAATTTTAGATTCGAATGTTTTGTCCCTGGCTTAAGCTCTTATACGTATCATAATTTACGAAAAATTTCATACACCTATAGCTTATAAATTTCACAGGTAATATTTAAATTTTTATGTTACTAGTAAATATTGCTAAACTTGAATAATATTAAATAACTTGAATAATACTCTGTTAACTATTTTGTACAGAGATCTGCAGTATTAGGATATAGTAAAAACAAACCCACACAAAGCTTCATAAAATGCTCAAAATTGAATTACACCGAGACTGTTGATTCGTATAGTGCTTTTTTTATTATTCCGCAGCTCTGAAAGGAATTAAAATATTCCCTTTTTTCCGAAGAGTCTGAAAGTACTTTATTTTATATAAAAAAGAATTTACGGATGAATAGAAGTATGCCAAAATATTATTCAGTTAAGAGTTTGGTTCCTATAGGGACTTTTAAAGTGGCAAAAGTTGACAAGGAGTGATGGATTTTCTCAAATATTTCCACTTAAGTACACATTTGAAGGAAAATATTCATTGCCTTTATTTTAATACTAATACTTCTTTTCAGATATTCAGAATTTTAAAGAATATCAGCTCTTTATGCTACTCAACGAATATCGTGCTTATGAATTCGTTTTGCACCGTTATTCACAATCTGATCTTTTATATTGTACATAACTGCATATTTATATAATATAAGACAAAAAAATTGAATTATGATCAGTTTGAATCATTTTCAAAAGATTGTTGGCTTCATACCAGTGAATTAACCTCATGAGCTCAGCTCATCAACGAGCTCAGCTCGTATTCTAGTTACGCCCCGCAGTGGGCTCAAACTGCATTTGAGAAGAGAGTATTGCTTAACCTCGGAGCCGCCTGATTAAATACAATTACTTAGTTTTTTCCCTCCAGGTTTCTTCAGTTTTAAGACAACCTGGGGAAGAGTGAAGAAAGTATTGACTAAAACTATTAAAGATATTTCCTAACAGTTTGTAATACATTTTTGCTGTATGTTTTGAAAAACTCGCACTGTTTATCACAATAAAAATATTTCAACAATACATGATTTTGTTATGAAACATTGTTTTGACTAAAAAAAATTAAAAAAATAGTTAAATACATAAACATATTTTTTTGTTCTGTGTTGTGGGAATAAATACCTAATTTTAGTTTAATCTCATATATAAGAAAAATCAAAATGACAATCTATCTAATTTCTCGACAATTTTATCTTTATAATTTTGAAAAGTTCAGAAAAAGTTGAAAAATTAAAGAACATAAAAATCACGTTTAAAAAGAAATTGTCACTTAGTCTTGGTATGCAGATTTGAATTTAACCCCTAACGTAACTTTAAACTGAACCATCATTATTTATTTGTTTAAGAATAAATCATCCAGAGAATGCAAAACTTAAAGCATAAAACCCCTTTAAGTAGGAAACAAGATTCTGTAATATTGTTGCGTGCTTACGGGTTCGTTATGAATTGAATGTACAAGTCCGATGAAAAATGAATAAAATTTATTATTATCACAAGAAATAAAACAAAAATGCTTAAATTTGCACAGATATTCGTACGATATTACAATATCTCACAGTAAGTATCTTTTAAACTACTCAAACGTTCAACAGAACTGAGTTCAAAACATAGAAAGCTAATCCGGTTTCATAGCAAATTCGCTACAGTAAACATCAGCAGTTTTCTAGACAAAACTCATAAAACTAACTAACCAATTGGAGAAATTTTTCATGCCGCTTATATATATGCTGCAAGCTTTTTAAATGCACGAGAATGTTCTAGGAATTTTTCGAAATCAAAACGAGATATTTATTTATTAAATGTTAAATGCACGCGCTCTTGTATTTTTAATTTTCCGGCTTAGATTTCTCCGCCACGCGCTGCACTGCACGGGGAATAAAACAATTTAATTTATAATTCTATTAAGATTAGATATTAAAATACCAAATCCGTATCAATATTATTTCATCATGTATTTATGTCACTTGGAGAGTTGTACTCTTATGTAATAGAGAAGAACTTTATTATTAACTGCACTTATTTCACTGTGTGAACATTGGAGGCCTGTTACAAGTAGTTCCCTTAGCTTAGTTGGTTAGCTTACTTCCCTTAGTTGATATTTTCTGTTTTACCAGGGCACCACATCTGAAAACGCGTGAACGGTAAAATGTCACATATCATTCTTTTTGTATTCTATAGTCTCTTTAGCTGACGGGAAAGTCATTTGCCCTTAATGATTGGATATTCTGCTCGCAGAAGGAGCCGCGTGCATGGCGTATGTACAGCCTTCCACAACGCATTGTGACTAACGCTAGTGACGGATACCACTGCACGCGTAAAATTTGAGGTAAAAATGACGTTGCTGTAAATCTCTGTAAGACACGCTTTTCGATTTTTGGAGACCTCACACGTTTCGCCAGCCTGTCATAATAAATCACCAGATATTGCCCCCGCTTATTATTTTTCTTTTACGATTTAAAGCTGTGTGTTGTTCTACATTACAGAACCAACTCCGCTCTCTTCAGCATCCAATCTTCGCATCTCAGGCAGTGAGATCGTAATACATAGTACACTGAATGAAACAAATGCATTACAATAGGCTAACAAAACTGAACTAATTAGGTTTGTACAGGGCTGTTAGACCTTCCCTCAGTTATCACGTTGCATTAACCAGTACTATTTGTTTTTACGCAACATACTGAAATATGCATATACATGGAACATGAATTTTTCTTACATTTAATTCATTTGCCCTTCTTGGTAATACAGTTTTATTAATAGCAGGGCATTAAAAAATCAGGTTAGTCTATTTAATTTTGCTATCAGAGGTAGAGTTTTGACCAGATATCTTTTGAAAGAGAGTTCGTTTTGTTGGCTAAGTTCATTAAATGAAATTCAGATGATGAAAGATACATAATGATCTTCTCCCATCCAAGATTTCTGTGGAAGAAATAGTTCTTGCATGAACATATATTGGAAAAAGGGAGAGACCAAATATATATTTGTAAAGGTAACGGTTGGTGTTTCACTTTTGGAAGGAAACTGTGGGCTCTACTTCTTTCTAGTGCGTTATCCCATTCATTTTGCCAACTTAAAAAAAAGGCTTTCTGTTTCAGTTGGAATTACGGTATTTCTACAAATCACCTTCTTGAGGAATTGCTACATTTTTTGTCAGTTCCATGGTATTTCTATACATTCACTTCTCGATCAACTGTTGCTGCTTCTGCCGATTCATCATATTTTCCGTTGCCTTGATGTCCATTACAACCTTTGATCCATTCTTCAACCGTCCTTCTCCAATCTGTATTTGCAATTTTTCGCTTTTTAAAATTCAGTTTTGATGAGAAATATTTCTCGTCATAAAGTAGAAAATGTGATATATATCTTTTTTCCTTTTTAATATCTTTCTTTATTTACATTATTTGCAGTAGCAAAAAGCATGATTTTAATGACTTATTTTGATTTTCATTTCATCTCGTACATTTTTACTTGACACAGTGTTCCAAAATTATTTACAAAAGAACTTGCTAAGAATATTTTGGTTAAACCTCTTTGATGATCTGGTAGGTAAAGGAATTAATACTAGACTATACGAATATGTAATAGGAAATTATTACTAATCCAGGGACCAA